CAATATGGGATAGGTACCTGCCATTGGTTGAATTTTCGTACAACAACAGTTTCCATGCTAGCCTGGGCGTGGCACCCTACGAGGCGTTGTATGGAAGGAGGTGTCGGACTCCTACCTGCTGGTCTGAGGTTGGAGATAAGGAGTTGTTTGGCTCTAACTTTGTCCAAGATACCACCCTGCAGATCCAGTTGATCAGGGAAAAGCTGAAGAAGGCGCAGAATCGCCAGAAGAGTTACTATGATGTGAGGCATCGTCCACTGGAGTTCAGTGAGAATAAGCACGTTTTTGTGAGACTTTCACTGTCACAGGTGTTGGTCGGGCACTCAGAGTGAGGAAGCTGAGCTCGCGATTCATTGGGCCCTACTAGATACTTGGTAGAGTAGGACCTGTTGCCTACCGGCTTGCCTTGCCTTCGAACATGGCCCACATCCACGACGTGTTTCACGTGTCTCAGCTTCGGAAGTATGTAGCGGATCCTTCGCACGTGGTGCAACCGGATGAGGGGGAGGTTCAGGAGAACCTAAAGACTCCCCCTCGGACCACTCGAGATTCTCGATCGTGGCGAGAAGTAGCTAAGGAGCAAGATCATTTCAATGGTCAAAGTGCAATGGACATGAAGGACTCCTGAAGAGTGTACTTGGGAACGAGAGGACGAGCTCCTCCGGCAGTATCCCGACTTCCGAGACATGTATGTTTCTGATTTTGAGGACAAAATCCTTAAAAAGATGGGGTGAATGTAAGGACACACACCGTTAATTAAGGAAGTTAATTAATTAATTATGTGAAATTAGGAAATAATTCCATAATTGACCCTTTAATTATTATGAGGCTTAAATAATTATGGTAAGTGAGTAATAATGCTGAAAGTCATTTTTCTGACGAAAAGTGCAGATACCGATTCTTCTACTCGGTATAAATGTGTACCGTTGAAGTATCCCGGAAAATTATAATAAGTGCATGAATATTCCTAGAATAATATGTAGGACTGTGATTTCAAGTTTCAAGTCAAAATAATGAGAACTGGTGCCAGAACTGATACTGGCTATGGAAAAACGCGTACTGAAAAGGTGCTGCGAAAAATAAAATAAAAATATGATAAATCTTAGAAAAATGAGTAGGTTCAGAATTCTAAGTTTGAGATTAAAATGCTAAGCGTAACTATTAACACTAATACTGTGTGTTTGAGGCTTAAACCTCTATATATATGCATTTTTGGCCCAAAACTCTAGGGCATACACTTAGAATACGTGACTTGGAGGCTGACCAGCTTTCTCCCACTGCTCCATTTCCTTCCCTTCTCCATTTCTTGAGCCAAAAGGCCATTTCCTTCATGAAATCTTCTCTAAACACTTGGTGTGAGTGAGGTTTACCTTTAGGGGTGTGTAGTGACCTTGTTTCTGGGATGAGGCCACTGTCGTGGTGAAGTCTAGGTGCTGACTTTGCAGTAGTGTTGTGAGAGCCTTTGGTGATAGCACTTTGAGCTCGAAGGAGCCATCTTTGTTGTGAAAGGACCAAGCTGTGTTGGCATTTTCGTTCTCCTTGCAAGTCAGACTTGAGGAGCTGTTGTGAGAGCTCCAAGAGCACCTCTCTTTTCTGTTTTGAAGCTTGGGTAAGCACCGTCACCTGTGATCATGGGTTTTATATGTTAAAAGTTGAGTATTGGCATGTTTTAGGAGTTACACAGGTAACTAACCTTTATATGAACCTATATGTGCCTAAAAATAGATTCTTGAACGTATGTATTTGATAAAAGTTGAACCTTTGGTGGATATCTTCGCGAAATGCAGAATCTGCATTCTGTCACGAAATATCCGGATATGGATATCCGGATATTGATATATGGATATGCATATCCGGATATTGATATCTGGATATAGGCTCTGTGATATTCGGATATTGATATCCGGATATGGGCTCTGTGATATCAGGATATGGATATCCAGATATTCTGGGTTTTCGAGAATAGTAACGGTGCTGTTCATTCAGAACTATGTTGTGGGTTTGTGGACCATAGTTTGATGTAGTGGGACTTCTGTAATAATTAGACTAAGTCAGAATCAAGGGATTAAGGGCTTGTGGCTTTGTGAGAAGCCTTAAGACTTGGAACGCAAAGGAAAGACGTTGTCTTTATATCGTATGCTTGTAGAGTATAAATATTGATCTTGTTATTTGGTCCTAACAGATTATGATTGTGTTGTGTGTGGACCTTGAGCTTGTATGGACTCTTGGCTTGGATAGCTAGCTTGCAAGGTAAGCTTTCGTGTCCTCGGTTTAGCCATTGTTTGTTCCACCATGTCCCATGGGGGATGGTTATATGCATGATGTGTTTTCATGTATTTTTTTACTGAAATGCTATTGAACTGTTAAGTGCAAATGCTATATGATATGTATGTGGTGTTCTGCCTAGACAGGAAGCCATGTGGTGGTCCTGTGGGCGGGTATAGCATGGGCGTGTACTGTATGGGTAATAGACGTATTCCTGCACTTCTCTGATCAGTAGAATAGTTATAACACACATGACAAGAATAGCTGCTGCATTGCACTAATTTTGGAACTGATATTGAATTAATGCGTTTAGAACTTATATTGCACATGTAAGTGAGATTGGGGTGGAAGATCCTTGAGGACCACTTATCTTACTGAGATTTCCGTTTAGAGATCTCACCCCACGTTTGGGGCACCATTTCAGGTTCAGGTAGTGCGGGAGTTGAGACCTCTAGTGACAGGAGGCCGGAGCTTAGTTGATTGCATGCTATTATGATGATTTTGCTGGATGCTGACATTGCTTTATCTTTACTGTCATGTTATTTGATTTGAGACTGTTGTTGGGTGTTGTTGTCTTATTTGGTGAGCATGGGGAGTGTCAATGCCACATTGACTTGACTTTATGTTTTTAGTTGTTTCAAGTTGTATAATTGTATCAGGATTATGTCTGGACTACGTGTTGTAGATCTGTGACTTAGACACTCACTTATTTATTTATGAGGTATTTCAGTTAGCTGTCTATTTGCAATTTACATACAGACAATGTTTTGAAAATGAATTAGGTAATTCAACTTGGTGATGATAATGATGTCATAATTGAACAGAAAAAGATATTCCGCAAATTTTAATTAAGCGTGGCTTAATACGATGACATGTTAACAAACCGGGTTAATACAAGATGTTACAATAGACTTCCTACTCAAGGCATCTGGCACCACATTAGCTTTATCTGAATGGTATTTCTGCTCAAAGTCATAATCCTTTAAGAATTCAACCCATCTCTGTTGTCTTATGTTCAACTCTTTTTGAGCAAACAAATATTTCAAGCTTTTGTGATCACTGAACACAGCAAATTTCATCCCATACAGAAAATGCCTCCATATTTTTAAGTCAAACACAATAGCCGCAAGCTCCAAGTCGTGAGTCGGACAATTCTCCTCATGAGGCTTTAACTGCCTAGAAGCATATGCAACCACTCTTTTTTCTTGCCTTAGAACACTCCCCAAACCTTTCTTGGAAGCATCACAAAATAATTCAAACTCACCTTCCTAATCAGGAAGAGTCAACACAAGAGCAGTAGCCAATTTCTCTTTCAACGTCAAAAAGCACTCCTCACATATCTAGGTCCACACAAAAAGAGTATGCTTCTGTGTTAAACGGGTCAGTGGCAGTTTCATTGTATAAAACCCCTATATAAACCTAGGGTAATAACCATCTAAACCTAGAAGGCTCATGATCTCAGTCACAGTCTTAGGACGTTTCCAGTCACTTACTGTTTCAATCTTACTTGGATCCACTGCAACACCACTAGTAGAAATCACATGACCCGCAAATTGCACCTCAGATAGCCAGAATTCATATTCAGACGGCTTAACATATAGCTTCTTCTCTTTTAGTACCTACAATACAGTGCTCAGATGATCTGTATGCTCCTCTTTACTTTTGAAATAAATCAAGATATCATCAATAAATACAATCACAAACTGGTCCAGATATGGTTTAAAGATACGATTCATATAGTCCGTGAACACCGCTGGGGCATTAGTAAGCCCAAAAGGAATCACCTGGTATTCAAAATGTCTGTATCTAGATCAGAACGCCGTTTTAGGCACATCCTCCAACTTAATCCGGATCTGGTGATATCTAGACCGAAGTTCAATCTTAGAGAACAAACAAGAACCCCTCAACTGGTCCAGAAGATCATCAATTCATTGCAAAGGGTACCTGTTCTTAATCGTAACCTTATTCAACTGCCGGTGGTCAGTACACAATCTCAAGCTACCATCCTTATTTTTCACAAATATAACAGGTGCTTCCTATGTAGTCACACTCGGTCTGATAAAATTCTTTGTAGATAGCTCCTCAATATGCTTCCTCAACTCAGCCAACTCCAGTGGTGACATCCAGTATGGAGCCAAAGAGATATGCCCACACCAGGCAACAAGTCAATGGAGAACTCAATCTCGCTCTCAGGTAAAAATTATGGTATCTCATCAGGAAATACATCTGCAAATTCATTAACAATCAAAATATTCAAAATTTCTTCTTTCTTGTCACCAACAAGTCCACCCAGTAAGACATAGCCCAGTTCACCTGCCTTCAAGGCCTTAACAGTTTGACAGACAGACAAATAAAGAGACGGATAAACAGCGGGCTTCTCAGGAGATAATATCAACCTCTTTCTGCAGCAATCAATCATTGCGTAGTTTTGAGACAATCAGTCCATACCCAAAATTAGATTAACAGAGGCCAGGGGCAAGAAAATCAAATCAATAGTGTAACCCCTGGCTTCATACACAAACTCAACATCCTTACAAATAAAGGAGGAATCACTAACCTCTCCTGTAGCAGTAGTAATATGCATTGGGGAATCATCCTTGTTACCCTTAAATTTAACCCCTTAGCCACATATCTGCAACAAAACAATGCGTCGCTCCCGAATCAAACAAAACAGACAAGTCAATATTAGAGATAAAGATTATACCTTTAACTAGATTCAATTTTTTTTCTGTCTGCTATACATTAGTAGTATACACACGTTCCACAGTAGGAACAAATGGAAAGACCTGCAGATTCGTAGCCTGTCCAGTATTGCTATAACATTCTCTAGTATAATGTCCAACCTTATCACATTTGATGCAAGAATTTGGAGCAGCAGTACAAGGACCCCTGTGGTACCTCTTACATTTTTCACATTGTGGAGTAGAATTTCTATCATTAAATCCACCCCTCTGGCCACCACCCCTCTTGAATTGATTAGGAGGTTGCCTTACCTGCAACCCCCTACCTCTATTATTATTATGGTGGTGAAGAAGATCCTTGTAATTAGAACCAGAAAGACCAGCCGTCCTATTTACCTCTTGATCATTAGAAGAATTACATTTAGAATACCTGCCATATACAGTCTCAACCCATTTACACTAAGTCACCAAGTCAGCAAAGTTCCTCACAGCAGTGTTAGACATACATTTAGGAATCTTCTCATTTAATCCTCTTTGAAACTTCGCAGATAAGAAATCCAGAGTATGCATAGTACCCCCAAAATTGGCAAACTTGACCAACTTATTAAACTTGGCCAAATAAGCATCCACAGATAAAGAACCATGTACCAATTTATCAAATTCCCCCTGTTTAGCTTCCCGGACATCCCTGGGAAAATACTCTTCATGAAACAAGCCCTCAAACAAAACCCATGTAAGCTACTCACCCTGAATAACATAAGGGCGAGATACATTACACCACCACTCGTGGGCATCACCCTCCAGCATATACATAAAATACATAAGCTTCTGAGGATCCTGGCACCTCATAACTTGAAAGATCTTATCCATCCCCATCAGCTAGGTAGTAAAAACTTTCGGGTCTTTTGACCCCAGAAGTGCAGGAGGTTTATGTTTCCTGAATGAAATAAGTTTCCTCTTATCAGCAGAATCCGCATCAAACTGCTCAGAAACCCCAAAATTCTGAGCAATAAAAGTAGGATCCACAGTGGGATGACTAGTCTTACCAGTATGATGACTAGCCTCACTCTTCCCCTGCTGGGGTGTGACAGATGGCGTAAGTGTATGAGTCACCCTAGCCGTGTGAGAAGGAGAATCGCCTCTCCTATGATGAGCTCTCTCAGCCCTAACCTCAGTTATGAAGGCCTGCATCATATCCTGATTATTTTTCATCAGGTTCTCTATCATAGTTCTATTAGCTACCGTCTCCGTCTACAGAGCATTCAGGATTGCAATAATCAGATCAAGCGGCGGCGGATCTGCATCTCTTGTCCCATGGCTGCCACAAATCCTCCTCATGATAACTGTACATGTAACAGAAAGGAATGAGCTGATCAGACCCACACTGAGGAATAACATATACATTAAACATAAAGAGTTTACAGATAGCTATGCAACACAAAATGTAGTTATTCATAACCAGAGTTCACTAGTAAACTGTTCTGATACGATAAAATATAATAGCCCATTGTACACCGGTATTGTTAATATTGATTATGATATTAAGCATAGTTACAATCACAACAATTCATTTAAAAATACGAGTAAACTTTTTTCTTTGCATTATGTAAGTGTTTTAAAAGAAGAGTAAATACCATTTTAGGTCCTTGACAAAAAACACGGTTCCCATTTTAGTCCCTTACAAAAAATAATTAGTTTCGGGATCCCTAACAAATTCACAGTGGACCCATTTAGTTGAAATCATGGTCCCTCGCAAATTCAAAAAAGACCCATATTAGTCCCTTAAAAGGACTAAAATGGGTCCATTTTGAATTTGTTAGGGACCTCGAGACTAATTATTTTTTGTAAGGGACTACAGTGGGGACCGTGTTTTTTGTTAGGGACCCAAAAATGTATTTACTCTTAAAAGAATAATAAAATGTAATGACACATGTTGTGATGATAACTGAATTCTAAACGCGGAATAAATATAATAAATACCTAACTATCATACATTACCTACTAGGAGGTTCCCATAAACCACTTAGCAAAAATCTCATTTTTACGGTTTTTCTACAACTAAACATGGTTCAGTCTTTTGGTCGCTATGCAAAATTCCCATGCTATGAACCTCTCATCTTTTAGTATGCTATTCTAGACTCAATTAAATTTCCAACAAGGTATCACACGCCTCATAAAGTTCTCATTTGCTCCGGTTATCTCCGTTTGAAGTCGGACAGGCAAAACTGCTAGCCAACCAAAACAGGGCACCTAAAATACCTCACCATTTCTGCGATTCTAAACAAACCACTCAACTGATTTCTCTCAAAGTTTTATACAACAAACTAGACACCTTAAGCTCTAATTTGACATATTATGAGACTAATTTGAGTAAGAATTGAGGGAGAAATATTTTATTCAAAACTGGAATTCGAACAGCCCCATGTGCAGGGCCCTTTGGGCAGTCTCCACTCAAACGCACCTACACGTCGCTACAAAGGTTCAATTTCTACAATTATTTTAGAATTATGAGGTGTTATAGAATGAACCTGTCTGCTCAGGGAGGAATTCAGAAGAGCCTTTTTCTTTTTTCTTCTACCAAGATCTAATTACCAAGGTCGGTCTCAAGTTTCCCTTTTTCGAGTTTCAAATCGACCTCTTAAACAACTTTCTTTATTATATATGCCCAGATACACAACAATGACTGGGCATATATAATAGCCTTTGAATAGTTATGTTCATATTTAAACTTATCCTACGCCATATCTTTTTTCATTCACTTCTTTAATGTTTATACCCCACGAATTGCGTCTGAAGCACCCAAGTTGAAGGATGGACTAGTATTTGGGGTTGCCCTAATATCTGTGGCCGTCCTTCAAGAAAATTGTTTTCTGTGTATACCTGACTCCTTCTAGGACTTTAAAGGATCATTCTTCAAGGTTTTTGTTGAAGTTGGGCAACACCCCTGGTTTGTATCTCTAAGCGGGGCAGAATAAAGATTTCCTCTCTACTGGTCTCTAAAACATCACCTGTTGTCAGTGGTCGATCTTAAATTAAAACTTTCAAAAGAAGACAAGATCGTTGTTGAGGACTTACTGAATCATGTAAAGGAACGCGGTTATGTTAGCGCTGCCTCCCTTGTATCTAAGGCACAGGCTAGCCCAAGCAAACCATCTAGTAATGCTATGTTTACTTACATTCCTGTATGTTCACAGATGGAAGAAGTGTCGGGCTATATATTAGCTTTCAAGAAGAAATCAGCCTCCCGTTCTGAGCCAGCGATCAAAAAATAAAAAACCTCTGCTGCAGCCACTTTGGTTTTGGATCTCATAGAGGAAACTGCAAGCATGATAAGATCCAAAATGACACTTACCTCACAAGCTGAGATCTCAGGTGGTACCACTTCAAAAATAGTGGTTACAGTAGATAAAGGGACGTCAGTACCTTCCCCGCCCGCTGGATTAAGAAAAAAGGCTCTATGGGAATATGGGGTTGCAACCGAGCTTCGTGGTGTAACTTATCCTCCTCCCTCCTTTTTGGAATTGGAATTATATCAAAATCCGAAAATGAAGAGCTTCAGAAAGTCGAGCTTTATGCGTATAAGGCGGTATCCTTAATGAAGCCATATTCCATTATGCTTGAAAAATATACAGAGCTGCAGGCTGAAGTAGACATGTTGCATGCAAAATGTGACAAAGCAATAGGAGAGCGGCAAATTCTAATTAATTCCTCTGCCGAGCTGGAGACTAACTTGAAGCAGTCAAAGTATGTTGCCGATTCCTTCGACCTTGAAGCTGACAATGATGTTATTGTCAAATTTTTGAAGGAGAAATCAAAAAAAATTAATGAAAAAGAATCCCCATTGGACAATTTAACTTCTGAAAATGAGAAATTAAAAACTGATCTCCAGAATCTGCGCACTGACTATGACTATAGTCAAACCATGCTGGAGAAGGTGGAAGAGAGTGCTTTTTCCATCGTTATTAATCAGATGAAGTTCTTTAACCCGGATGTGTTCTTTAATACCGAGAAATTTCATTATTGCGGTTATATCAAACATGGAACATTTGTTCCTCCTTTATTTGATGATAACCTCGATATAGATGAAAATGTGGAGATTACTGCTGAAGCCGAGGTTGCTGCCTAGAATTTTGCTACATAAATGTTGGAGCAGCAGTAATCTACGCTTTCTGCAGGTTGAAGGACTGGGATACTGGTTTAATCTTGTAATTGTCTATTTTTGGGGGGTCTTTGAATCCCTTTTGACATTATGCAATATATTGTCGAGTTTGTTCTCGGTTTTGTTTTTTATTTTTCGAATTAATATGCTGAAGTCTTTACTTGGCCTGTCTCTAGTTATCCTTTTTAACTCAGCTTTTCATTTTGATTCGATTGTTCAAATCCATTATATAACCCATCTCAGATATCATATGCTTACAGATTTGGTTATCCAAATTGGTTTTATAACCCGATTCAGATATATTGGGGTTTCGTCATGTCTGGACTTGAACATTGTCCAAATAATTGACCTGATATAAATAAACAAGTGAAAATATAAACAAAATTTTAATATAAGCGAAAATTTAGTTACTATTTTTACTAAATTCATTATTAAATGAGGCCATCAAATAAAGAATTTTTCACCGGGAGTTATAATAGAATACAACAATTATAGTGGAAAACTAAAAGTAATGATGAAAAAAATTATCTTAATACCAGTATTGAATAACTGCTCTAAGGGTGTGCATGACAATCATTCTGTTTCCTGGCACTGTTTCTGAAAAGAAACAATTCTTTTCTATTTCTGTGCCTTGGAACAGTTTCTACGAAAAAAAATATGTTTGATAACATGTTATATTTTTATTCTGAGAATGAGAATTGCGTTTGATAATACAACAAATAATATAATAAAAAATAATTCCTATCAAGCATAATTTTTTTTGGATCATCATTTTCCTTTTCATATGGTGGCGGTGGTGGCGGCAGCGGCAGTGGTGGTACGGACGACAGTGGCTGCGGCGATGGTGGTGGTCGTAGTGGCGACGGCGGCGGTTGGTGGCGTGGTAGTGGTGGCATGGTGGTGTTAGTGATGACATGGTGGTGGTGGTGACGGCAGTGACTGCGACGATGGTTGGTGACGGTGGCGTGGTGGCAGTGGTGGTGACGGCAGTGACTGCGACGATGTGGTGATGGTAGTGGTGGCGGCGATGGTTGTGGTAGTGGTAGTGGTGGCAGTTGTAGTGGTTGCGGTGGTAGTGGCGGTGGTTGGTGGCATGGTAGTTGTGGCATGGTGGTGTTGGTGATGACATGGTGGTGGTGGTGGTGACGGCAGTGGCTGCGACGATGGTGGTGATGGTGGTTGGAGACGGTGTGGCAGTGGCGATGACGTGGTGATGGTAATGGTGATGGCATGGTGGTGGTGTGGTGGTGATAGTGGTGGCGGCGGCGGCAATGATGGTGGTGGGGGTTGTGGTGATGGCAGTGGCTGCGGCAATGATGGTGGTAATGGTGGTGGTGGCGGTGGCGGTGGCGGTGGCGGTGGTGACGGTAGTGACTGCGGCGATGGTAGTGGTGGCATGGTGGTGGTGGCGGCGGTGGTAATGGTAGTGATGTCGGTGGCATGGTGGAGGTGGTGGCGATGACATCGTGGTGGTGGTGGTGGTGATGGTGACGATGGCATCGTCGTGGTGGTGGTGGTGGTGATTGTGACGATGACATTGGTGGTACAACGGCGGTGGCGACGATGGTGGCGGTGGCTCATGTCGGGAAGATGATGGTGGTGATGATGATAGTGGTGAAGAGTAATTGTGAGAAATAAGTGTTTCTTATTTTGTGTCCGGGAACAAAAAAGCAGAAATTTTTTGATTCTTTTTTCTGTTCCCGAGCACAAAAATTAA